GAGAAATAATGTTAACTTTATTATAATATTTACCAAAGAGAGGAAGAATTAAAGTCTTAATGATGAGAGAAATAATGCTCTCCCTATGTAAGACTAGATTGTCCTGTTAAAAAGAAACACACACAGGTGGCTCAGTAAATGCTGTGCCCACGCGCGCGCGCACACACACACACACACACACACACACACACACACACACACTGTTGTGAAATACTAGAAGACTGAGGTATAGTGCATCAACCCACCTGTGAAGTGCTAGACATCCTAAACCCACTGCATTTTTCTTTTCTTTTTTTTATATATTTTTATTGATTTCAGAGGGAAGGGAGAGAGAGAGAGATAGAAACATCAATGCTGAGAGAGAATCATTGATCAGCTGCCTCCTGCACCCCCCACACTGGGGATCGTGCCCTTGGCGGAATCGAACCTAGAACCCTTCAGTCTGCAGGCTGACGCTCTGTCTACTGAGCAAAACCAGCTAGGGCGTCCCCATGATAATTGGAATATAGGAACCTATAAAAAAAAAATGGGATGCCCAGATTCCCCACAAACCCTGCCCCAGAAATATATAGGAGAAAAACTCTTCCTGGCCAAGAGCTGGATGCTGTTTTTGCTTTGCATCTAGAAAAATAAAGATAATACAAAGGCAGTATTATTCTTTCCCATCTGATACAAATGCTGGTTGGAAGGGGGAGGGGGCGCATGCACATACACAAACATACTTGCACATCTGTATGGGCATAACACCTTCATAAGCATGAGTATTCCATCATGATTCAGGTTCTGGGATTTAGTGAGTCTAATCTCCCTGTTTCTGTGACCTTTCTCAGCTGCCTGGTATAGCCTGAAAAATTTTAGCCTCATTTCCCTGGTGATTCCATGTCAGAGACAATAATGGAAAGGGAAATCAAAAGCCCTTATTTCATCAGCTGACACTGGCGGGGACAGCAGAGGGCTGGCAGGCTGAGGCTGGCAACCAGCCCCTTTTGTCAGAGGAAAATTACCAGAACTCTCTGCAGAGTGAGCTAAGAGCAGCCAGCAGGGCTGCCCGGCGCTCTCCTCTCATCTGAGACTGAGCAGACAGAGCTTTGTAAACAAGGGACAGAGCGAAGCCAGGATTCCACCCGAAGCAGAGCAGGCCACCTCTGACCAGGTGGTCCTCCCGCCACTCCAGGGACATTGGACAGAAGCATGAAACACCAAAGGGAAAACATCGCAGATGCTTTCTAGAACAGCAGCAGCACTGGGAGTAAACAGAATGGCCCTCACGGCTAGTGTGGGTGTCGGCTTTTTCTAAATACAGCCATGGAAAGGGAAGGCCCCGAGACACCATTGGCTTCTCCAGTCACCTGGCAGACATGAGCCGGTGTCAAGGTGTACATTAGTTATATTAGTTTTGAGCCTCATGAGGGTAAAGACCCTCTGATTTATTCCCTGCTACATTCCAGCTCCTCAGAGAGAAACTGGCTCACAATGTGCTCAAAAAAGATTATGTGAATGAATGAATATTACCTACTTTTCCACCAGAACCAACTGTAATCATAAAGAAAAGTGGATATTTACATGTGTAGAGGGTGCACACGCACGTGTGTGTGTGTGTGTGTGTGTGTGTGTGTGTGTGTGTGTGTGTGTGTCAGTGTTCCCATTGAATTCTGGGTAGTGAAGTACTAAAGCCCTCAGGAAAATATAATCTTTGTCTATGGGTAGCAAGTTAGATCATGCAAGTAGAATATGGTCTGGTCAAAATGTCTAACTAATTGGAGATTTTGAGTCTAGCACCCCTTAGATAAATCATACATTTGGGTACTTTAATATTCCATTCTTATCTTCCCTTTGTGGGTAGGAGCCTGAGCCATTCCTAGGAAAGGCAAACAGGGACAATTGCACCAAGATGAGCACTCCGGGGGAGCGGATAGAGAAGCAGGCAACTGGCAGCTGGCAGTTGAAATAGAACTGCTGCCTGTTAGTCCCTGAAATGCAACTGCAGGTATCTCACCATTGTCTTCACCTACTGTCTCCTGGTCAACCCTCAGGTACTTGTTACCTCTCCCTGGTACCTACGCTCAGAAACACTTCTTCCCACCAGCTGTACTTCCTGTCGTTAATGCTCTTGTTCTACTGATCACATCTACTCTGCACATTCTCATTAACCAGTTCTGTCCCTCTGCCAGTTTCAGGTGAGGGATTAGTCTCCTTCCTCTCCTCTGATCCTTCAGAGCTGTGGCCCTGAATGGAGGGCAATTGGTCTGGATATTCCAGAACAGAAAAGAAGAACCACTCTAAGTCTTTGGCCCCTTTCCAGCAGAATCTGCTGTGAGTAAGGTAGCTTCTGCTTTCAGAGCTAAACATGGTGGCACAACTTCCTGGAAAGATCGCTGTCAATTATATGGGCAGCCAGGCTCCAGGTGCTCTTGTCTCTACCACGGCTTCTCTTCTTTAAACTAGAAAAATGTTCTTAGAGTTCCTTTTCCTGGCTGTATTCACACATAACGGGAAAAAAGGTACAGCACTAAACATTATTCATCTAAACCTGCTTCCCCAGTTTAGGCCAGTCAATAGTGCCACCCACATGGATGCCTACTGAGTCATTCCATTAGAGGAGCCAACATATTTTCATATGGCTACTGAGCACAGCCAAGGCATTGAACACTGAGTTCTTAGGCAAAATGAGTCGTCAGTGGAAGACAATTAATATCTAGCTCTTGGATTGGAAATAAAGGAAGCCTGAATGGGCCCCATAGGCCCTTTGGGGTTGCAAAGGTTATGTTTTCCAGTGAACTGCAGCTAAATAGGCTGAAAGGGAAGGTTTCTAAGTGCTGGAAGAGAGTATAGAAAGGAAAACAAACAGAACAGAGAGACAGCTGGAGTGTGGAAGCCCGAGTTGCTTCTGAACTTTCTCCAGGGAGACCTCACATGTTCTCTTCTCTTCTCTCAGAAGCAGGGATGGATGGACATTGCTCTGCCACACGTTCAGACTGGGAACTCCAGCACACTTTCTGAAAATCCATGAGGGTTTCTCTCTCTGGCCCTGCACTTGATATACGAATATAAAGAGGTACAGCCTTGTTTGTACTTCCCTCTTGTCTCTAATTCCCTCTCCACACGTTAATCTCTTCTAATTTCCTCCCTCTCTGTGTCCTACATAGCTCTGTCCTTAGTCTCTATCCCATTCTCACCAAAGTAAATGGGAAAAGAATTCTCAGGAGGGGGGGAAAAAGTATAACTTTCTCATCACAAAAATAAACTTTTAGTGTTTATCCTTAGAGAGTTTAAATAGCATGTGTTTTCACTCTGTGCATAGCTATTAAACACCAACTCTGTACCCAGCTCTGTGAGGAAGATATCAAGGTGAATAGAATACAAATCCTGCTACTCTAGGACTCTTAGTATTAGAATAATTTGTGTTTGTGCCTTAAGGTTTTTATACAGAGAGGAGCAAGGCATTGTGGGAATTCAGTAAAATAAACTTTTTAATTGTACCCAGAGATATTGCAGAAAGCTTTTTGGAAGGGGCAATATTTGAGCTGGCTTTTAAGGGATGAATACTAATTCTCTATGCAGTCAAAAAAAAAAAAAAAAAGAAAGAACTATCAGAATCAAGAAAAATCATCTTAAAACATGAGAAGATGAAAATAACTTTCATATTCAGGAGCTTGTATTCAATAGCAACATTAGAGATGAAATCCCACAAGTAAGTAGGAGTCAGGGCAAGAAGGGGCGGTTTGGACATTGTCTCATGGAAATTTGAGTATTTTAAGCTACAAAGCATCATGATCACATTTGCTTATTCAAAAGATCTCTCTGGCTATATGGTGCTGGGGACAACCCAGCCGGGGCTAGCGCAGAGGCAGAAAAGCTAGTCAGGAGGTACTGAGAAGTCCCAGTCAGAGATGATGAGGGTCTGGAGTAAAGCAGTGCCATGCTTTTGGAGAAGAGGGCTTCATGTTACTTGTCATTCAGTTCTCAAGGCAACATTTTTTTCCATATATTGTAATGTGGAATCAGACCAGAGACTATCTGCATCCTCAGGCAAGAATTGTGTGTTTTCTTTGCTTATCTTTATTCAAAATTATCTTGTCCTGAGCCTAACCTAAGCTCTTCCACACAAAATCAGTATTGGTGGTGGTGGTAGATTGTCACTGATGATGATGATGATGATGATGATGATGATGATGATAACTCATGTAGAATGTGAAATTAAACTTCACGCTACCCTGAATTAAGATTTCCACAAAAGGTTTGAGGCTGTATCTTCAAAGAGTAAGTTACCATTATTGGTTGAGGCCATTGTTGCCTTCAACCAGGACACCCCCAGGCACTGAAGAATCAAAGAACAAAAATAGCTACTGATTTAATGATTCTGGAACTTAAATATAGAATGAGAGGCCTTGTTATATGCATTCTTGTTGGTATTGACTCTTCTCTTTGCTGCTCTAACCACACCCCCAAAATCTTCTACTACCCTGTCCCTTCACACCAAACTTTCACCAAATTTCCCGTGTCTCTTGCCTTTGTACATGCTGTTCTACATAACTAGGAGCTTTTCCTCCACCCAGTCTGCCTGGGAAACAACTCCTCTCTCAGTTTTCAGCTCCAAGGTCATCACTGCCTCTTCTCAACCTTCTCTTATCCTAGAGTGGACTTGGTTGTTTAGTACTTCATGTGCCCATGACACTGTGCTCAAAACTGTTATAGTCCTTAGATACCACATTGAAAAAAAAACTGGCTGAGAGAATGAACAAATTAATGAGAAACTATAATCATTGGAAGATAGCAATACAACCAACAGTGAAATACAGATTAAAAATTAATATGATCCAGCCCTAAATGGTTTGGCTCAGTGAATAGAGCATCAGCCTATGAACCAAAGGGTCCCGGGTTTAATTCCGGTCAAGGGCACTACCTTGGTTGCAGGCTCCTCCCTGGCCCAGGCCCTGGTTAGGGCTCGTGCAGGAGGCTACCCTCAATGTGTTCCTCTCACATTGATGTTTCTCTCTGTCTTTCCCTCTCCCTTCCACTCTTCCTAAAAATCAATGGAAAAATATCCTTGGGTGAGGATTAACAACAACAACAAAATAATTTTTTTATGTGATCCAGTAATAACCAATGATTAAGAACCAGGACAAAATGGCATGTATGTGTAGATTTTTCTAGAGAGAGTGTCAGTAGTGTAGCAGATTCTCAAAGAGGTCTGAGGAACAAAGTGTGTAGAAAGATACTTGTTATACACAAAGTGAAAAAGAATTAACATAAAACATTCTGAAAGAAGTAAATACTCCAGTGTCTTTCTGTTGAGTCCTAATCATGTTTATGTAATTGATTCAACAATGAACAGAAATTATAAATGTAAATACATCAATTAAAAGGCAGTTTTTAACTCACAGAGGGATAATAATAGAGTGATCCAAAGAATTCTGGTCTCAAATCAGACAAAGCCTTAGAAAATATGCAAAATCCAATAGGATATAACTTTAGGTATCTTTACCTAAAGATAGGATGTGTGTTATATGGTCCTAAGAATATAAAAAGATATAAGGATTTTAAAGTGTATGAAGTTACACTTCTTAAGATCCTAGCAAATTCAAAGATTTAGACATAGAAGGGAAAAGTCATGTACATACCAAAAGAGCTTATCAGCTTAGTGGGAGCCATGGGCTTTTCCCAGAAAACAAAAAAATTAGGTAACATGTATAACTTGCATTCACGGAAGTTGACTAAGGGAACGTTCCCCTCATAAGTCAAGGAATCATTGACATTACAACATAAATAAGGTTAGCACATACCCTCAAGTTCTCAAACAAGAATCCAGATACCCTCCTGGCCTACGGCTCTTCTAGTAATAATACAAATTGCAATAAAGCTTCACATGCCAAGGTCTTTCCACTTGTCCTCACATGGTCTGCAGGGTCAGGGACTGAGGGTTCATCCAGAGTCAAAAGAACTTTTTATCATGTATTCCTAAAACTTAAAAATGGGGCCAGGGGAAACTGACTTTTAAAAAAAAAAAAAATGCATATCAGAATCATTTTTCAGAAATACATTTTACTTGCACTTACTGGGACTGCCTTTGCTTTCAAAATGCATATTTGAGTCCTTTTTTAGATATTTTCTGTAACTCCCACATATATACATATGAATCTTTAAAATAAAATAAAAAGACTGAGGCAAAATACGATGATCTTGGCCACAGGAAGTATGTAACAGCCATTTCAGGACCTCCCAGCGAGAGTCAATCTCTGTATTTCTGGAGAAGAAAGCGTGGGAGCCTGAAACACCACACCAAACCAGAACAGCTGAACCCCTGGCCTTCCTTTCTGCCCAATATTCTGGATGGGTTCCCTCCTCCCTGTCAGATCATCGTATAGGTTCTTGCTATTCAAAATGTGGTCCCCAGACCAGAAGCAGCAGCAGCACCTACTTGTGAGAGAAATTCAGAGTCTCAGGCCCCACCTGAGACCTACATGGTCATAATCTGTATTTTCCTAAGACTTGCAGGAGATTCCTGTGCAAGTGAAGGTTTAAGGGATCCTGGTGTTGCATATACTGCCTATCCTGCCATGGGCACCTGGAGGAAGGGAGAAGGCGAAGGCACTCACATGTCTACTTCACAGGTAGAGGAAGGCAGGACAGAGCTCTGGGTTCTTACCTGGTGGGGCAAGAATGAGATTTGGACGATGATGACAGCATGCCTCTCTAAGATGGACTGGGAGTTAGCAAACTTGAGTGGTTTTTTTAATGCAATTAAGTCTCCCTCTACTTTTATTTTGACTACCAGCTAACATTTTTTGACCACTTACTGTATGCCATGGACTGTTTTAAGCTCTTCATGTGTACTATCCCGAATAACCCTTTCAATGACCTACGAGTAGCTTCTGCTGTTACTCCCATTTTGCAGAGGAGGAAGGTGAGGCTCAGAGCCAGTAATTAACGTGCTCCAAGTCACACAGCTAGTAATCCACGGTTCCCTCAGGCAGTCACCCCAGAGCTCTCACTCTTTCTCTCAACACCATTATCACTGCTCCTACCTGGGGTAAAGGTGGGCTGCAGGGCAATGAGCAGAACCTGTATACACATCCATATTCAGATGCTCGAGCTGCAGGCTGGCCAAAGAAGGCAACAAGGAAAGTTCAAGGTTGCAGAGAGTCAGAGGCACATATTTGCTTCAAAAGAGAAGGTCATCACTCCGTGGGGAGGGGCCTTCCTCTGGCCACTCAGAAAGAGCTCCCAAGCTGCGATACATGGTGGCCAGAGCCCTGTGGAAAGGCTGCTGGGTAAAGCATTTTGCTGAAAGAGGGAAAATCAAAACTGATGCCCTCCTTGAATGAAGCACTCAGAGCTACTGGGAGTCCCCCTAAGATGCATGACTGAGATGAGTGTTTCTCCACCTCTGCTCTTCTCCCTGAAGAGAAGATTAGGAAGGTCAAGTTATAAAGAGAGCAGGTGGAGAGAGAGGAAGCAGTGGGGACAGTGGCGGCTGGCGGGAGCACTGTACAAGGATGGCTGGGAAGACGGCAACTAGCAGGAGACAGGGGCAGACGTCCAGAGGAAGTGGTTTTCATTAAGGCTTGCTAAGAGCAACAAAGGTTCTGGGAAAACTCAGGACGCCGTGGGAAGGTGAGTGACCCAGAACTTACAATATGTGCTTCTGGAGATCAGAAGATGTCTACTGACTGTGGCATTTTAAAATCCGAGTCCCAGTAGATACACAAGGCTTCAAAGTCTTAAAAATCTTCCTGTTAGTCAAAATTCAGCCTGATTCCTTTGAAGACCACCTGGTCACGCTCTCAAGGCTCCTTTGCTCTCCTGGATTTCAAAGTACAGATGCCAGGTCTCCAAACAGGCCAGTCTACGTTCAAGGATCAGAGGGAAATGCAAGAGCGGGACGAAATGAAAAGCGCAGCTGGTCTGTTGTAAAGGGAGTTGTTTGTGGAAGGCACTGGGGCTACGTCAGTTCTGCCAGATCTTGTGAGAAAATCAAAGTGATTATACCCAGGGCAGGAGGCTGACGTGCCCTCACTGCAGAAGCAGGACTTGAGAAGATGAGTTTTCAGAAGTTCCGTCTGAGATCCCGAGGCACAAAGATGTCGGTGGTGTGGCCAATGGGAGAAAGCGAGCTGGTAATGTTGCTTTCTTTAATCTGAGCCTTTCGTTTTATTTTATATGGGAAATTCTCTTTACCCTTACAACAAAGAGATTCATTTTTTTAAATCTCTTAAATTAAGAGATTGAGCCATAATCCAGAAATAAAAACATGCTTCATTCAAGAAACAACCACAGATTTGTCTTGTATTGTCTTGCTTGTTTTCTGTTGTTTATTTTGTTTTTTGTGGTCCCCATTTCTGAATCTTTTTTTCAGGCATCTTGTATTTGTAATCTGCTTAGGAAAAGGTGAAGGCAGCCCAGTGCTGCAGATGAAGTTGAGACAAGGTTCTTTTCCTGCAGGGAGTGAACAATGCTTACTCTGTGAACAATGGCTTAGCAGACCTGAGTGACAAAGGAGAGGGTAATTGATGCCAAAATTTACAGCTTTTTATAATGTCTACCCACTGGCTGATTTTTGAAGCTATAGGTGTTCTTAATTCGTTTGTCTTTTAATTTTTACATTACATTAACAGTGATTAACATGCAACCTTTACACTATACAGTACAGTATTCTCTGTCTTTGTATTCACCTTTATAAAATGAGTTTTAGACTTTTGTATGCATGTGTCCAAACTCATCAAGTTGCACACATTAAATCTGTGCAATCTTTGTATGTCAATAAAGCTGTTAAAAATAGCTAGTATTTTTTAAGAGGGGTAGCGGGGTCTCAGGCTACTTCATCACAAAAGGAGGAAGGTGGGGAGAGTCTTAGTGCAGGAGAGACAGGGTACATCTTCCTCACTACTCCAGGTGGAATCCGGAATGCTCTTCAGACTGCATTTGAGAAAGGGGCTAGACCTGGGTTGGGGTTTGTCCCAGAAGCCTTTGAGCATAGTAGAAGCTGAAACAGAGCCTCCCTAGTGAGAACAACATCTCCTGGGACTAGCTTCACAGATGGGGAGGAGCAGCCTCCAGCAGGATACAAGCATTGCAGTGGCTGGAGAGCAGGTCAGTTGGGTCAGGCTGCCTACAGAGCCTTCACAGTATGACTGAGATGGAGACAAGGCTGCTAGGAGCTACAAATTAAGCTGCTTGTGAAACAAATAACCTTCCAACCATCTCAAATCAAGTCATTAAAAGCAGTCATGCTATTCTACTTAAACATAGCATTTGCTCCTAAATTCTTCTTTCTGCACGATCACAAAATGGTGTATTGTTTTCCATTTTAGGCCTGAAATCTTAGGTTGTGTTTTTGGAGAATTCAGTGGAATCCAAGGGAGAGATCCTAACTACAGAGACTTAGACACATAATGGGGTGAGGTTTGTTGACCAGGAACCACTACCAAGGAAGAACCTTAGGGGTAAAACTAAGATCTTCCTGGGGTCATGAGATGGATGTCCACCATGGTTTTCTCACTCATTGAAATGAGACCTTCCCCTAGTCACAAACTCTCCCAGGAGTACCAGCGACTCATCTGTTAAACACCCCACAAGCACATCTTGAGCCCTAAACATTCTCCATGTTCATCAAACTGAGATGGTTGTTATAAAGAACTTATCTTAGCACCAGAAAATTTCCAAAACCCTTCCACAAGAATGTGGTTGTGCATTTCCTATTGCTTCATTCTAAAAACTATCTCAATGGTAGAAAGCAATGGATTCAGTGATACTCTTAATACATATCTATTTACTGGTTAGAAGAGCATCGATGCCCATCAGAAAAGTAGCGGTAAATACATTTGCAAGATGCAATATTCACAAGTCTAATGCTCAATGCACAAACTGATCATTTGTTCCTCACAGGAATTTATATTTCCCAGGACCACAAGGACCCCTCTCTGCTCAAAATGTGCCTTGTCAGTCTAGGTGCCCAAAGGTTAAACCACATTACACCAAATACTGGGGCTCTGGAAACGGTGCTGTGGACACGGTCCCCCTCCAGGGAAACCACCTCCCCCAACTTAAAGTACCATTGGACTCAAAAGAGCCGTGTCTGGAAATAATCCTGGCTGTATTTTAACCCCCAACGGTCCATCATTGCCTGAGATCATCTTAAAATTCTCAAAATATCTTTGAATTCCCAAGCCATTATAGTCAGCAAATTTGGTGTTATTTATATTTTTATCTCAGTGCAACTGCATATTCTGGAATTCCCCTCATGCCCTCTACTGCAGACCTCATGCTCTGCCATCAATGGAGGATAGCCGAAGTGGCTTCTGGGATTTTTTATTATAGCTACAACTATAGCTTGGCTGGACAATAAGAGGACAGACTGGTTATTTAGGAAAAGTACCTAAATGTTTATTAATAGTACAATGGACCAGAAAGAACAACAAATGCAAACATCCCGAGGCAGGAAGGGCTGTAGAAAAAGGTCAGAGAGGATAGGGAGTCAAGAGGGAGAGAAAATGGTGCAAGACCTGGCTGAAGTCATAGGCAATACCTGAAGAGCATTTTGGTGATTCTGGATTTTATTTACAAAGCAATAGGACCCTCATATCCAAAATATGTATTAAAGAAAAATTCCTACAACTCAAATAGAAATAAACAACTCAATTAAAAAGCAGATAAAAGGTGTGAACAGGCATGCCACAAAGGAGACCAAAATGGCCAACATAAATTATGAGTGTTCCACACCATTAGTCATCTGAGAGATGCAGGTTAAAGCAAATGAAACATCACTACATAGCCACCAGAATGGCTAAAATTAAAATGTGACAGTACTTAGTGTTGGCTAGAATAAGAGGTACCTGGACTATTCTTACATTCCTGGAGAGTGTTAAATATTTGTACAATCACTTTGGGGAAATGTGTGGTGATACCTACAAAAGGTAAACATATGTGTCGTCCATGACCCACCCCTGGCACATGCCCAAGGATTCTATGTCCACCGGAAGAATGTTCATGGCAGCTCCATTTGGAACAGGCCCAAACGGAGACAAGCCTAAGTGTCCATCAACAGTAGAATCACTAAATGCATTTTGAAACATCATAACAGAATTCTACACTTCAATGAAAAAGAACAAGCTACTCATTCAGACCACATGAATAAATCTCACAGACATAATGTTGAGTGAAAGAAATTAAACATAAAAAAAAGAGTATATACTGTATGATTCCACTCACATGAAGTTTAAAACTAGACAAAGGTAATCTATGGTGATAGAGGTGAGCAGTTTGGATGAGAGGGTTGTGCAGGAGCTTTGCTGATGGCTGGAAAGTTCTTCCATTGGTCTAAGTGGCAGTTACATGGGTGTACACACATGTAAGTAAAATCCATCAGACTGCATGTTAAGAAGTGTGCACTTTAATGCAAGTAAGTCATGCCTTAGTTTCTACAAATGAGGGGGTGAGCAATGGAGGATGAATCCAGGGAAATTGCTGGAAGAGACGGGTGTGTTCAGGGACAGAGGCAGAGAGTCTAGGAGCAAGTCCTGAGGACCCAGCACTGAAGGTTAGGTGGGAGGGGTGAGGCAACCAGTAAAGAATGCCAAGAAATCGGAGGAAAGCAGCAAGGGGAGGGGCAGGAGGCGGCTGAGAGTAGTTCTTACTGATGAGCTAAAGAAAGATGGAAATGGGTGATGGGGGAGAAAGACCCTCCGGCCTCATTTGTAGACATAACATACACAGAAAAGTCATAACTTGTTATGAGGTTTAGAAGTTATTTGGGTGATGCATAGATACAGAGAACAGAGTGACAGTTGTCAGAGGGTGGGGATTGGGGGCAGGGCAAAAAAGGTAAATGTATTAAGCAGCACAAATTGGTAGTTACCTAAAGGTCATGGAGATGTAGATTACAGCATAGGGAATATAGTCAATAATATCCTGATAGTTATGTATGGGGCCAGGAGGGTGCTTGAAGCATTGGGACCACTTTGTAAAATACAGTGGGGCCTTGACTTACGAGTGTCCCAACTAACAAGTTTTTTGAGATATGAGCCATCTCTCGGCCGATTTTTTGCTTTGAGTTGCAAGCTAAAATTCGGGTTATGAGCCAGCTTCAGATACCCCACCGCTAGTTGGCACAGCGAACATCACAGTGAACGCCACAACATTAGCCCAGCATCACGTGTCTCACTCGTTCACTTTTTGATTTGACATACGAGTACTTTGAGTTATGAGCTCCATCACGGAACGAATTAAACTCGTAAGTCAAGGCCCCACTACGTGATTTCCTAACCACTTTGCTGTACACCTGAAACTAATCAGAATAATATTGAATATAAACTGTAATTGAAAAAAATTTTAATACATTTTTTTAAAAAAATAAGTTACCTGGATGATTTAAAAACTTACTGGAGAGAGAAACCAAGATGGCGGCATAGGTAAACACCAGAGATTGCTGCCTCGCACAATCACTTCAAAAATACAACTAAAAGACGGGACGGACATCATCCAGAACCACAAGGCTGGCTGAGTGGAAATTCTACAACTAGAAGGAAAGAGAAAAGCATACCGAGACTCAGAGGAGGTGCGGTGCGGAAGTAAAATACAAAGGTGCGGAGGTGCGTGCGGAGAGGGCTGGCGGCTGAGGTCACGATTGTCTTTTTCAATCGGGAGGGAGTCTCAGGCTCTGAGCTCCAGTTCCGGGCGAGTCTCTGGGGACCCGGACTCATACGGGAGCAACGGGACTGTCTGGGATCGGTTGGAACTCGAGGGCAGCTTTCTCTCGGAGGCACACGCAGCGATTTCCGGGGCCTCTGAGGACAGGACTGAGAGCAGCCATACTGCTCGCTCTGCCCACCCAGTTAATCCCCTGGGGCTCCGCCCCGCCCAAGCCTTGCACAGAGGCTTTTGCATATGAAAGACCTGGCCCTTTGTAATCTGAAAATTACTTAACAAACTGCAGCTGCCCAAGGCCCCAGGGCAACTTGCATTGCTTTACAGCTGGCTCCTGCTGGGTAGCCTCAGGCAGAGGCTAGATTAGCACCTCCTTAGATCCAAGAGCCAGTGTACCCAGTGTTCAGAGTGGGACCATCCAATTATAACTCTGCAGATCCATAAGGAACACACTCGGGGAACAGACTCAGTGAGCACCAAAGCCCTACTGAAGCAAACCTTGCCCCATAAGGTTGTCTTCAGCACAGAAGTTCTCCCACCATAGACACAGCTGATTCTCACACCCAATTGGCCTGAGGTCAAATCCCCCCAGTGTTACCTACAACAATCAAGGCTTAACTACAACAAGACTGTGCACAAAGCCCACAAGGGGTGCACCAAGAGTGTCTACCTCAGGTAATTGGGGAGGCTGAGCCACCGGGCCCTATAGGACACTTAGCACAGAAAGCCACTCTATCGACACAGTGAAGCATAAAAAATGCCAAGACAAAGAAACAGGACACAAATGACAGAAATGGAGGAAAGCAAACTACAGGATATAGAATTCAAAACCACACTTTTAAGGTTTTTCAAGAACATTCTAGAAACCGCCGATAAATGTAGTGAGATCCTCAAGAAATCTAGTGAGACCCTCGATGTTGTGATAAAGGACCAACTAGAAATTAAGCATATACTGACAAATAAAGAATATTATACAGACTCCCATCAGCAGACCAGAGGAGCGCAAAAATCAAGTCAAAGATATGAAATGCGAAGAAGCAAAAAACACCCAACCGGAAAAGCGAAATGAAAAAAGAATCCAAAAATACAAAGATAGTGTAAGGAGCCTCTGGGACAGCTTCAAGCATACCAACATCAGAATTATAGGGGTGCCAGAAGATGAGAGAGAGCAAGATATTGAAAACCTATTTGAAGAAATAATGACAGAAAACTTCCCCTACCTGGTGAAAGAAATAGACTTAAAGTCCAGGAAGCTCAGAGAACCCCAAACAAAAGGAATCCAAAGAGGACCACACCAAGACACATCATCATTAAAATGCCAAGAGCAAAAGACAAAGAGAGAATCTTAAAAGCAGCAAGAGAAAGAAACTCAGTTACCTACAAGGGAGTACCCATACGACTGTCAGCTGATTTCTCAACAGAAACTTTGCAGGCCAGAAGAGAGTGGCAAGAAATATTCAAAGTGATGAATACCAAGAACCTACAACCAAGACTACTTTATCCAGCAAAGCTATTATTCAGAGGTGAAGGTCAGATAAAGAGCTTCACAGATAAGGAAAAGCTAAAGGAGTTCATCACCACCAAACCAGTATTATATGAAATGCTGAAAGGTATCCTTTAAGAAGAGGAAGAAGAAGAAAAAGGTAAAGATACAAATTATGAACACCAAATACGCATCTATCAACAAGTGAATCTAAAAATCAAGTGAATAAATAATCTGATGAACAGAATGAACTGGTGATTGTAATAGAATCAGGGACATAGAAAGGAAATGGACTGACTATTCTTGAGGGGAAAGGGGTGTGGGGGGATGCAGGAAGAGATTGGACAAAAATCGTGCACCTATGGATGAGGACAGTGGGTGGGGAGTGAGGGCGGAGGGTGGGGTGGGAACTGGGAGGAGGGGAGTTATGGGGGGGAAAAAGAGGAACAAATGTAATAATCTGAACAATAAAGATTTAATTTAAAAAATAAAAACTTACTGGAGAAGCCTGTCTCCATTCAAGGTAGGTGGTAGTCACATCCAGGTGCCATCGTCAGAATCCAGGCCCTACAGAAATGGCCACAAGATGGCCTGGTTCCCCAGGAGAAGGCATGCTGCCACGCTGGCCCAGACATCCAAGTGACCTTCAGGGACACCCAGCCAAATGCAGGGAAGAAGGGACCTGGATGAAGAATAAGCTATACTGGTAAACGACTTCAGTTTTTCAACTCAAAGTCACTCACAGGAAAGCATTAGAATCAGGTTGGGTTTAGGGTCATAGGGTATCAACATGTACTGCAGCTGACTTTGCAAAATGAAGGATTTCTGCGATGCACCTGAAGGACATACCTTGGATGCAAATACCATTTCCTTCTCTTGATTTCTAAAGCACTTTGGTGAAAAGCTTTCTTAAGACATCATTCATATGCTTTCCTGTATTGTGTTTATTTATATATATATTTTTTCCTCTTCATATTAGACTGTTAATTCCCTGAAGACAGAAACTGAGTCTTTTCACCTTGTATCTTCCCACTCCCCCGGGGCTGCACCCTGGGCTTCACTGGCCTTGGATGCAGCAGATGTGGGACACATGAGCACTTCCAATGTGAAGACGGACCCTGGAGGGTGAGTCCGCCTTGCAGGCATCCAGCTATACTGAATCGCACCACCTTGAGCCTGAGTCATTGCTGTTTCTCTGAAAGAAGTAAAAATACATTGTTTAAAATTCAAGAAGGCATTTCGGAGAAACACAGATGGCCTTGTGGCAACATAAATAGCAGGCAGGAGAACGGAGACTGCTTCTGAAGGAAAAAGACAAGGTCACCTTGCCCTCCAGTCTCATTAGTGGAAATAACACTTACAGGAAAGTAACATGTTTTTAAAGATGCTTGGAAGTTTCCTAGGTGATCATGAAATTGCTGGTGGCACTATGAGTTTTTCAAAATGCACAGAGCATGCCCTCTGAGATCAACTCAACTGGCAATTAGGACAAAACAGGGTCATGGAGCTTTTCTTCCCTTCTTTGGCTGCTAATTAGGAGATCCGTGACTTATTGGGGGTTTTTATGTTACCTAATGGGCTAAAACTCTTGATGGTGGTGACTAATAATATTGGTGTATTTGAATTTAATCTTTAACTTGATTTCCTAGGGTGATTAGATGATGCTCAGAGAGACTGGTCATGTTATTCTTTGATAGATTCTTTATATGGTATATGGTAAATGCAGTAAAGCAAGAGGAATAAATAATTTTACCCGCAGGCATTCTCCCTGCTCCCCACGTCCGTCAGCAGGCCTGTTGAGGTCAGCAGTCTTCAGACACAAATGGGTGTTCCCAGGAGGATGTGCAGGAGTCCACATTGGCCAGTTTGCCTGTGGACCTAATGCCTTTCCTGTACAGAGTTCATGTTAAAAGCTCATAAAGAGTAGTGTAGCCCAGCCAGCATGGCTCAGTGATTGAGTGTTGACCTAAGAACCAGGCGGTAAGGGTTCGATTCCCGATCAGGGCACATCCCTGGGTTGCAGGCTCAATCCCCAGTGTAATCAATGATTCTCTCTCATCATTGATGTTTCTATCTCTTTATCCCTTTCCCTTCCTCTCTGAAATCAATAAAAATATATCTTTGTGGGGGAGGGGGTGTAACATGGGGATAAGGACACATATGTAATAACTTAATCAATAAAAAAATTTTAAAAAATATATATATATATATCTTTTTTTAAAAGAGTAGTGTATCAAAGATGTTTTAAAAACATGAACCCAGAATCAAGTCAAGTAGACCTGGTTTGCTCCTAGTTCTGTCCCTCATCAGCCTCAAGAGAGCTTCTTAACCCCTCTGAGCCTCAGTTTTACTCATAAGTAGAATGGCAATAATGACGGTACCCACCCTGTGATTGTTTTTAGAATTAAGTGAAATAGGACATGTAAAAAACTTAGTAGAGTGCCTAATTCCTGATGAATGCTTACAGAACTATTATCATTATTTTATTAATCTCTGAATGTCTTATAGCTTAATCATTCTTTACAGGATCTGATCCACTTTGCAATCATTACTCCATCCAGGGAGAGAAGGGATCCCTGCTGGTGGAGGAAAATCACAAGCAAGGTAGTCATATGTACTGAATTCTACCTTCATGCTTAGAAGACAACTCTTTGATCAAGGTTAGTTAGGACCTCACAGGGAGCCTTTAGGATTCTACAGAGGTGACACTGCTAAAATATTGCACATCGTTGTATGTTTATGGTTCCAAATAAACCAAGATCTTTGAAGAGTGCTCCTCTATCAGTCTTGTTCTTTCTACAGCCGGTGGAGAAGGATATCTTGGCTGAGATGTTGCCATAAAAATATGGATGGCAAGCACAAGCTAGTCAAGGAATACCCTGCTAGCTGAGTGGAACTTACAGAGTTTGCATTATTGTTCATGAAGGGGGGATGGTTGGACAGTGGCCATTCAGTGGGAAACTCTTGGCTTTTCCCATGGCTGATAAATGGAGATTTTCAACCTTGTTTACCAAGGACACTCTGAAGAGGACACTATGAGAGATGGGCATTTCTTTGAGGCTGATTGACCTCAAAAGAGAGAAGACATGAAGTCACTTCACTTCAGGTAGATGACAAATACACATCAATATATATAAACCAGAAGCCTGGTGCATGAAATTTGTGCACAGGTGGGGTCCCTAGGCCTGGCCAGCCAGCGATCAGGGCCAACCAGGTTCCCCACCTCCTCGCCTCCGCCTTCCCTCACTACCTACATGCCACCACCTCACAGTTCCCTGCCTCTCCGCCTCCCCACCTCCCTCCTTCCCTCGCTGCCCACATGCCGCCACTACGTGGTTCTCCACCTCCCCACCCCGCTCCTTCTCTTGCTGCCCACGTCTGCCGCCACCCACTCCCGGCTCCCCATCCCAGCCTGGGGCCTGGCCCCAATCGGATAATCGGGACCTGCCATCCGGGGGAAGGGACCAGGAGGTTGTCCAGCAGGCCTCAATTGGGTGATCGGGGCCTGTCAGCTGGGGGGAGGGATAGGGGGAGGGACCCGGGAAGTTGGCTACCAGCCCCAAGGAGGGAGCTGGCCCTCGGCCCCCCTGGGAAAGGGGCTGCATCCAACGCCACCCACCTTTGGTTCCCCATCCCAGCCCAGGAGCCCGGCCCTGATTGGGGCCTGCCGGCGGGGGGGAGGAACTGGGAAGTTGGCCTGCAGGTTCTATCAGTGACTGGGGCCTGCAGGCTGGGGGCAGCTCCTGCGTTGAGTGTCTTCCCCCTGGTGGTCAGTGTGCATCATAGTGACTGGTCGTTCTGGTCGTTCCATTGTAATGGTCATTTAGGCTTTTTATACATATAGATACCTTTGGCTAGCAAGTCTCGGTGACAGGTCTGACCTGGGCACCAGGGTCATTGGGCCAAAGTGCAAACAGAGGGTAGTGTTTATGGCCAAGATGAAGTGGAAGAATTAAAAAGAGGAAGGAAACAGTTTGCAATGTGCTCAACAGAAGTCTTCTTAAAATAAAAATCAAAAAATTATTTTTCTCAGCTCTATGTCTGCTCTTATAATCTCTCTATTTAAATACCAAGTTGTTAACATTTTTGAAATGGGGAAGTCAGCTTCACTAATTTACAGAACTTCTTCCTGTCTAGACCTACAACTCCTTAATTTCTAATAAAAGTGAGTAAATAATACCCCAAATGCCAGTGTGATGTCCAGGACTGGTCAGAATCATCTGGGGCACGTTTACATATGACACAGGGACTGACCTAGAATCTCTAGGTATGGGCCCCATTAGTTAAGCACCCCTGATGACTTGTGATGGTGACCAACTTTGGGAACCCCTGAAATAGGCCACATCCATGCTCAGCTTTATAAAGTCTGCACTTGAATGTCACTAATTGCCGGGAGCCGGTCCATGCTTGCTGTTTCAAGGGACCTGGCATGTATGGCATACTGTTCTTGATATGTTTGCTCACCTTCTTGGCACTATGTGTTTTAACCAAGGTCTCTGAGAAAGGTTGTTTCCCCAGGTAGGGATTTTCCCCTGAAGTTAGGGAGGGAATAAAACCTCTTAACTAAGTGCCAGGCGGGTAATTAATCACTTTAACTATGAACAATCATGCTTAAGCTACATAATCTTTACTCCCTGGAATGGAGATAAGAAACGCCCTAACCTTTGAAATAGAGATTGATAGGATTGGAATCAACTGGTATAAATACAGATGTAAGAAGACAGAATGAAGAGAGACAGAACCTAGGCACAGAACCTACACAGAACGTTCTCTAGAGACAGAAGAACTTCGCTGGAGAGAACATGGCAAAAGATCCTGGACTGAACCTGACTACAGAAATCGGCAAGAGAACCTGATTAGAACCTGGTAACTGAACCTGGCTGGAGAACCTGGACAGAACCTGGCTGGAGAACCTAGCAAGACAACATGGACACAGAACCTGGCTGGAGATCCTAAGCAGAACTTTGCTGGAGATCCAGACCAGAACTTGGCTGGAGACCCTGACAAGAGAACCCGGCTATGATGATCACCTGAACGCTGCCTCTGTGTCATTCCTTCTTTGCCGACTCCGTCCACACCTTTGGGGACCCCTGGACCTGCTGGGGCTGGACCCCGGCAACTAATGGTCCTCATTAATGACCCTCCTTAAACTACCCATTGGAAAGCTTACCCAGTAAGTTCCGAGAAGATAACATGATGCCAATAGCCAGTCTACTGGATAAGTCCACTTATCCAGGAGTTTTCTTTTCTCCCTCCAAAGTCCTAACACTTTCCACTTAAATTAGCCTTTTCCTTGAGCCATGTCTGAACTTCCCCTGTCTCAAAGTGGAATCCAATTACCTCTTCACACCCTGAAGATGTTTTCAGTTGAGTCTTGTAAATGCCACATCAGTTTGCCTTCTGAACATATTGGCTAAATGTCCAAAATAATAATTACTCCAATAGGGACTTGGTAAAATTCTTAATGAGTCCATGAAGTGAGTATCTGCTTTTTTTAAAAAAAAAAAAAGGCATTACATTTCAAGTGTGTGTGTGTGTGTGTGTGTGTGTGTGTGTGTGTGTGTGTGTGTGTTGCAGGGGAGGAATTAATCTTGTATTCCAATGGGAGGTAAACAATCTGACCTTGTATCTAGAAACTGGAAGACAAGTTTCTCCTTTATCATTTGGGGGAAAAATGCCAGGAGTGAGGAGGCAGGAAAGGTGATGAGGGTGAGAGAGTAGTGTTGTGGGGTTTTTTTATTAATAATAGTTTTTAAATGGTATAACATGTATAACATGCCTAATCCACCATAAATCATATTTCAGAGAAAAAATCCTTTAACCTTCCGTCTTCCTTTGTGGGGAAGAAAGATGTCATGGAAACCATGTCTGTGCCTAAAGCGAGTGACAATGAAAACAACTGTTTCCATGACTCCACAAGGAGATGTCAGCCTCTACACAGAGACAAGTGTTGAGCATCAGGAATTCTCCCCTGGCTTAGATGCCTTTGTTCACTCTGCCCCAGTTACTCTCCGTCAATAGTCTATCCTCTCACATTTTCCTTCCAGTTTGACTTGAATTCGTAAAGCCAAGTTCAAATCTGACAGCTTCTCCAGAAGCTTCCTCTCCCCTCAGTTAGAAGAGATTTCCTACCCTTGAAAGTTAGCTCCCCAGACCTTGCATTAGAGCTGTAGCTCTCAATCGGGATGATTTTGTCCATCACGGGACTTGTGGCCATTTCTGGAGAAGACATTGTGGATTGTTTGCACTGGGAGGGCGCTGCTGGCATCTAGTGGGTGGAGGCCAGGGGTGCTGGGAAGCATGCTACAGTGCACAGGACATTCCCCATAGCAAGAGATTATCAGCCCCAAACATCTGCAGTGCTAAGATTGAGAAATCTTACTTGAGAGTGATTTGTGTGCTGGCTCTGAGGCAGCCAGTGACACAGCTGAGCTCTTCCTCCTCCTTGGTCTTTTCCCTCCTTGGCTCCCAGGACACCACACTCACTGAGCTTCCTCCGACCTCACTGGTCCAACCTCTTGTCGCCTCTGCTAAACCACCACCACCCCCAGTTTCCAACTTCTAAACATTGAGTGTGCCTGAATTCAGTCCTTGGACTTCGTTCCTCTACCCATTCTCACTCCAGTCTATCACTTTAAATATCTATAGACCCACTGGACCCCTTCCCTGAATCTAGATCTCAGCCCAGACCCTTCCCCTAAATTCCAGGTTCATAGAAGTTAAACATCTCTCTCTTGGACGTCTCCAGGGCTTCTCAAACTCAGCATATCCAAAACTGAGCTCCTGCTCTTTCCCCAAAAACATGCTCCTTCAATTCATCTCAGTGAATGGCAATTCCACCTGCCCAGTTGTGCATGGACATAACTTTGCAGGCATCCTTGAGACCTTTCTTTCTCTCTAGCACTCATTCGATCCACCATCAAGTCCTATTGACTCAAAACGTATCCAAAATCTGACCACTTCTCTCCACTTCCACTATGGCCTCCTTGGCCAAGCCACCACCATCTCTTCACCTTGAACATTGCAACCGTCCCTGACTGGTCTCCCTGCTTTACCTCTCTCCCCTTCACAATACAGGAGCCAGAGTGATCCTTTTAAACTGTAAGTCACCATACTATTGTCTGGATCTACGAGTTTTTGTTTGTTTTTCTCTTTGTTCATTTGTTGCTTTCAGTTTTATATCCCACACACGGGTAAAATCATATTATTCTTATTTCTGACTTATTTCGCTTAGCATGATATTCTCAAGATCCATCCATACTGTCGCAAATGGCAGTATTTCATCTTTTCTTATGGCTGAGGAGTATTCTATTGTGTATATGTACCACATCTTCTTCATCCAATCATTTATCAAAGGACATTTTGGCTGTTTCCATGTCTTGGTCACCATGAATAATGCTACAATGAGCATAGGGGTGCATCTATCATAGGGATATGAATAACTGTTTTCTAATTTTGGGGTACAAAACCATAAGACAGTTTGCTGGGTCATATGATAACTTTATTCTTAATTTTTTGAGGAGCCTCCATACTGTTTTCCATAGAGGCTAGGGAGCTGGAGGTAGCAAAGGGTAAAGGGGTCAAATATACGGTGAAAGAAGATTTGACTTGGCCCTCACCGGTTCGGCTCAGTGGATAGAGCGTCAGCCTGCATACTGAAGGGTCCCAGGTTGAATTCCGGTCAAGGGCATGTACCTTGATTGTGGGCATATCCCCAGTAGGGGGTGTGCAGGAGGCAGCTGATCGATGTTTCTCTCTCATCGATGTTTCTAACTCTCTATCCCTCTCCTTTCCTCTCTGTAAAAAATCAATAAAATATATTTTTTTAAAAAAAGATTTGACTTGGGGTGATGGGCACACAATGCAATATGCAGATGATGTATCATAGAATTGTGCACTTGAAACCTATATAATCTTATTAACCAATGTTACCCCAATAAATTTAATTTAAAATAATAATAAAATAAAATGTAGGTAAGTCAGGCCATGTCCCTTCTCTATTCAGAATGCTCAATCGCTCCTATCATTCCAAAGTAAAAGCCAAAGTTCTTAGAGTATTTTACAAAGTTTTATATAACCATTTGCTTCAAAATCCCCCAATCTACCCCGATAGCATCTCACCAACTCCTATCCCACACTCCCCTCCTTCACTCTGCATCCACACCGGCCTCCTCACTCCTCGTGAGTCTGCCTGACACATTCCCATCTCAGGGCCTGTGCCTTTGCTGTGCCCTCTGCCTAGACTCATCTTCCCCAAAATCCCCATGGCTTGCCCCATCAGTCCCTTAGGCCTTATTGAAGCTTCATCTTTCCAGGGAGGCCTTCCATGGCCGCACGATTTAAAAGTGTAGCCCTCCTCCTCCACTTGTCGGTTTTAATCTGTTTTCCATAGTGCACATCACCATTCTTATCGGACTTGTTGTCTAATCATCTCAATAGGATGCAGCTCTCAGAGGCTGGGACCTGTTTCCATTGCTGTCTGCCGGGCACCCAGACTAGCGCTGTCCACAGTAAATGCCCAATGAGATGAATGAACGCAGCCCCCGTGAGACTTCAGATCCTCCAGGAACATGAGCTGCTGCTCATCACCGCACACGGCATCTTGATTGCTGCTCATTTTTCCTCTCCCTGACACTGTGTTCTCATATAGGCAGTCACTGTACAGGGCGCTCTGGTACACATCAGCAAGTAATTTCATTTAATTTATTAGGAGCTCAATCCATTTTTTAATTGAATATTCAATCTGAATGCTTAAGATGTCAAAAGGTATCCTGGCCACAGTGAAGGATTCATCACGCTGTCTCTACCAGGAGTAGGCAGAAGCTAGTGCCGGCTGCCTCAAAGGGCAGGTGTCGGCGGAGTTCTTGCACCATCTGGTGGGCATTCTGGGAACTACACTTACTGAAAGCGTGTCTCCTGGTATACGTGAAATGTTTGTCTCCTCCCCACCCAAGAAGCAAAGCCATTCCTCTTCTCCTCCCCAGTCCTTGACTTCCCAAACTCTCCTTGACTGTGAGTGGTTTAGGTTGGAGACTCTCACTGTTTTTCAGGAAAAAATTAATCCCCTCCTGGCCCAACAAGGAGAGAACTGAGGCTGCTTGAGGCTTTGGCTTCTCTCAAGCTTATTCCTTACTTAGCAGCTTCATCCAATCAACTCCCTAAGTCAGGAAACCCTGTGGGGAACATCAGTCTTTAATCTTCGGGTGGCTGTCCTATGAGACATAATTTCAGTGCATCGTGGGAGGCTGTCCCACTGTCAGTTCCCAAAACTTAATACCCACCAGTCTGGTGGGAATTCTGTACTGTGCCTTTTATTCCACTATCAGAAGTAGGTTTTAGATGTAAATACCCCAGGGAGAGGTAACAGCATGATTTCCAATCTTACCAACCTAAGTGACCCATAGCCAACCTACAGGCAGGTGTTAAAGAGTGAGGGCAGAGAACGGCGACTTGTCACTTAGAAGGAGTGTCTAAAGGTAGACACTAAAGGGCAGGGCCTGTGACAAAAAAAGGAGCCTCCAAATTCTACTTCACACACCTCACAGCTTCCCTCCTGCTCAGCCTGCCTAGCCAGGGTCATGCTGTGATCACTACCATGTATTGGTGATTGGGAAGAGAAAAGGGCAGATCAACCTTCTGGAAAATTCTACATTCAGATAACTTATAAAGCAATTCTATGACTCTCAAGAACACCAAACAATATCAACTACAGTCACCAGAGTGTGCCTAGGAAAAGATTGTAGACACCGATCCAGGATTTGTAATCAGCACATGAATTATATGAAAGGAACTTACATTTCTGAGGTATAGAAGGTTCTTGAATCATTTTAGTCAAGATGAGGGGAGTTGTTTGGTTTTGTGATATCTGTAAAGAAAATGAAAGTGTGTAACCTTAACTAAACTTAAACTTCAGGCCAGTATATCTGAATTTCATCAGAAGCAGAAGGGAAGAAAATAAACATTTATTAAGAGCCTATTTATGGAAAGTACTGAGTAGGCATTTTCCTTGTTTATCTAAATTTAATGACTCTCTTTGAGGCCAGCTATGTGACCTGGAACTAGTAGCTTAACATCTCTGAGCCTCATGATTTCCTCATCTGTGAAATCATGCCAAACAGTTCCTCAAAAAGTTAAGCATAGAATTACCGTATGATCCATCAACTCCACTTCTGGGGAGAGACCCCAAAGAGGCAAAAACAGGAACTTAAACATAGTTGTTCACCAATGTTCAAAGCAGCATTAGTCATCATAACCAAAAGGTAGAAACAACCCAAATACCCATCAATGGATGAATGAATAAACATGCAGTACATGCATATAATGGATTAAACCATGAAAAGAAATGAAATTCTGACATGTGCTACAACATGGATGAATCTTGGAAGCATTATGCTGAGTGAAATAAGGCTGACACGAAAGGACAAATATTGTATAATTCGACTTATATGTGGTACCGAGAATAGGCAAATTTAATTCATAGAGACAAAAAATAGAATAGAGGTTACTAGGTGCTGGCGGGAGAGGAATGAGTAGTTGGTGTTAATGAGCAGATTTTCAATTGGGGATGATGAAAAGTTTTCTAAATGGATAGTGGTGATGGTAGCACAACATTGTGAATTGCTTATTCCTACTGACTTGTATACTTAAACATGGTCAAAATGGTAAATTTTATATTACATATACTTTACCGCAATAATAGATAAGTAGATAGATAGATAACAGTGCTTAGTTATTATTCAGTTATGTCTTTCTCAGTCCCCAAATCAATCATCCTACTATACTGTCTAATTCCAAATGTATTGAATTGTACAATTGTAGAAAAATTGATATATTTTACTATATGCAAAGAGTATGTTAATAGATGTTGTGAGTTAATTGGGGTAGTTTTAGTTACTGAAGCACAAAAAGGAAAAACATTAATGAATTTTTCCAAGTACAAAATACAAAGTAGAGAGGGCTCTCCCAGCTTCCCCCTGAGCGGATTCCTTCCTGGACCAGCTCTCTCCCCAGGGAGACCCCGGCAGGGCAGGCAGTTTCTAATCTTCTATAGTTGGATGAGAAAAGGCCCCACGGTGCACTTTTTTTCCATTTACAGTGCAGAAGAATGACTTTTCCTCCAAATTTAATTGAGATGGAGCATTCCAAGACCAGGAAAATGTCATGCATCAGATGATGAGTAAGCCAGACATCATGGGAATGACTGTCACAGGACACAGCTATTTGCCAAAAATGTGGCCTATGGGATTTAAGGACCATGTCATGCTGCCCCGATGGATGGTTTTTATTTGGATGAAATGAAACCACTTATTGAGTTTTCTTTTGAGGGGAAAAATGTCCAGAGAATATGGGAGGAAGAGAGGGCTGCACAGGCAGGTGCACACGTCCACGTGCTTACGGCCACAGGGAGGAGGGGAGGTGCCCCGAACTCGGGGAACTCGAACTCGGGGAACTCTGGATCTTACAAGAGGAAGTAGCCTACTCTTCCCAGTGAACCAAAAGCAGCAAGGGATAAAGGATAATAAAATACCTGAGTTATGCTTTTACCTACAAGAAAAGCCAAGAGGACTATAACTTTGAATACAAGTTATAGAGTATGAACCTGTCCACACAGGGCATTTACCATATTTTCTTATCTCTTTCAAATCCCGCAGAAGTGCATGGTCAAAACTGAAAACATAAAAGGCCGTAAAATGGGGATCTAAATGGCTCTCCAGGGGGTGCGGTCATGCTGAGAAATCATACTTGTGAAGGCAGGTAAACATGTGATACAGGAACAAAAGCAGTGAAGCTTAAATGTTAAAGCAACTCGGTGGACAGACATTAACTGAGCACCTGCCCCGTAAAAGGTATTGGACTAGGCTCCAAGAAATAAAGAATAAAACATGATCTCTTCCCCATTCTACATTATAATCTAGTTGTGCATTTTTTAAAATATAATTTTATTGAGTTCAGAGAGGAAGGGAGAGGGAGAGATAGAAACATCAATGATGAGAGAGAATCATTGATCGGCTGCCTTCTGCATGCCCCACACTGGGGATCGAGCCTGCAACCCGGGCATGTGCCCTGACTGGGAATTGAACCATGACCTCCAGGTTCATAGGTCGATGCTCAACCACTGAGCCACGCTGGCTGGGTGGTGGTGTGTTTTTTCAAAAATCTAGTTCCATAAACAGAAAACTATCCCAATTTGAATAGTTCATGAAATAAGTAGTATAGCGAGTGGGAATTCCAATCCTAGATAGAAGGGGGAAATCTGTGTTTAACTCCTCCCCGTCCTGAGTTCTAAAGGACATACTAGTAAACCCAACACAGTGAAAAAAATAAAAGGGGGCTATTGTTAATGAAAATTCAACCGATGTCTGGAAGAAGGAGGAGGAGGAAGACACGTTAAAGTCCAGAGGAAATCACAGCCTGCAGGCTACATGGAAAGGAATATGTTCCAGTAAAAAGCTCCTCTACTCTGCCAGACTCTGGTGAGGTCTCGAACTCAGGCTCAGCAGGAATGATGGAGGCAGCGAGATGAAGGTGCATATGAGAAGGCTCTGCCCCACTTCCCTCACCCAAATCACCTAGAAGCCAGAGGTCATCCCCACCCACCCCAGGCCCAGCCTAATCCTTAGAGAGCTCTCCAGAAAACAAATCAAATGACACATAGGGGAGGGGAAAGAAGGGGAGGGGAGAGAAGGGGAGGGGAGAGAGGGGAGGGGAGGGGAGGGGAGGCTTAGATTCTGATCTAGTGCAGTTAGATTATTGGACAAAGTCAGCGAAGGTGTGAGTGAAACAGAAACATACTAGGTACTCTGACCCTGAGAAGTACACATCTTTTACCCTGGAGAAAGTTAGTTGAGTGGTAGTTTTAGGGTTTCTTGCTCCATGGGAAATAATATTCTCATCCCTGGTGAGTTCAATTTCCAATCAGCCTCCTGCGTTTATCTCTGTTGAGAAGTCACCTCCCACCAGTGAAATTCCATTTGGCTCCTGGTGTGGCCTTTGGGAAGACTGTCATTTCACTGTTGATATTCATCTCATGTTTGTTTAGCTGGAACAGTGCTAACAATCATTGGACTGATTCATACTATTCTTATGACATAAAGATCAGAAAATCCTTAGTCAACCAGATTAGCGATTTTCAACCTTTTCATCTCATGGCACACATAAACTAATTACTAAAATTCTGCAGCACACCAAAAAATATATATTTTTTGCCAATCGGACAAAAAAAAAAGTATAATCTTGAGTCATTCACACCAGATGGCTATTGTTGTGTTGGCTGTCATTTTTTTATTTGACAATCTAATGGAACAGAAGTCTATGCACCTGACTAAATGGTCAGGTATTGCATGTATTAAAAATTCCTGTGGCACACAAGTTGAAAATCGCTGAACTAGATAATGCCATCATGAAGTTGGTGGGTGATGGCATTTCCAGTCATCTAACAATTCACTGGACAAATACAAGCCAGATGCTGTGTGGATGCTGGAGGTATAGAGATGGGACAGAAAATTTACATGGCCTAGATTATGGAACCATTAGGAGAGAAGGACATTAGGTTAAGAACCCTAAACGAAATGTAAAATTGTGACAAGTGCTATGAAGGAGGAATATACATGCGGTGCAATTACAGTGTGGGAAGGGGAGCCTGACCTCATCAGGGAGCTCAGAAAAGGCTTCCCTTGAGGAAATGCCTATTGAACTAGGACTTGAAGTAAAGGGGACTAAGTGGAGGAGGAATAAAAGGACGTCCAGTGAGGTTTCCAGACCTACTGCTGAGGGAAGACCAGGGACCAAAGTACAGCCCACTGTGGCCAAGTCCTGAAGCAGAGAGAGGCTGGCAAGGCAGGTGAGCACTGGGGCATCGGAAAAAGAGGGCCTACATTCACCTAAGGGCCATGGAATGTCACTGAAAAGTTTGTAAAAGATGTATGATTGGTTGTATGATCCAGTGTCATTGCTGGGTAAATGTCCAAGAGAACTGAAAACGTATAAGCACAGATGGCCATACCAGCATCATTCACCGTAGCCAAAATGTGGAAACAGCCCAGAGGTTCATCAAGTGATGAAGGGATTAACAAAATGGCATATCCATACAATGGAATATTACTCAGCACCCCCAAAAAAGAAATGAAGTACTGCTATAAGCTACAAAATGGAAGACTCTTGAAAACATTATGCTAACTAAAAGAAGCTCGTCCCAAAAGCCCACATCCTGTATATTTATACTTATAGAAAATGTCCAGAATAAGCAAATACATAGTCAAAAAGGAGATTAGTGACTGCCTAGGGCTAGGAAAATGGGTTAATGAGAGGTGACTGCTAATGAGAATGGGATTTCTTTGGGGGAACGATGGAAATATTCTTCAAATTAGATTGTGATGATGTTTGTACAACTCTGTAAATATATTTAAAATCATGAATTTTATACTTTAAATGGGTAAATTGTATGGTATGTGAATTATATGTCAATAATACTTTTAATGTATGATTAGATTTCTGTTTTGGGAAAATCAGCCTGGTAGCAGTGTGGGAAAAATTAAAGGAGTGTACAAAATCAACACAGTGAGGGGCTACTTTCACAATCCAGGAGGGTGCTGATGACAGACTGGACTACAGTGGTCATGGGGGAGACAGAGAAAAGTGGACCACATAAGAGGGATTTAGGAAGCATGATACACAGGGGTTGGTACCTGGTTGGCTACCAGGAATAGGGTGAGGGAGGAGTCCAGGATGGCACCCAGGTCATGGCCAGTTGGCTAAGTGGTTGCATTCACTAAGATAGGGCATGCTGAAGGGGGCTCGAGCTTGCTTTGTGGACAGGGTTATCGGTGGATTTAGTTTAGAGGGGCTTTTGAGACATTCCAGTAAAGATGTTCAGCAAAGAGACACTGGAATAGTACTCAAGACAGAGCTGAGGACAGTGATGTGTGGGTTACCAGCATGTTGTGGCAATGAAGCTGGGCTTGAGCGAGGTCACCTGGGAGAGAAGAGAACTCTGTTTTAATGGCTTGCCTAGAGGAGAATACATCCACACAAGGGAAGCCAAAGAAAAGTCTAGAAACATAAGCGGAAAGGCAGGAGAGTGGTGGTAGAGAGTAGTGCTTCAAGATGAGTCCATGACATCAGGTGATGCTGTGAAGTCAACGAAGGTGAGAGCCAGTCTGTGTGCATTGGGGTTAGCAGCATAGTGTCATAGGGGCTGTAATGCATTGGAGTGATGCGGCAGAGCCAGACTGCCATGGGCTGAGAGTGAAGCAGCGAATAAGAGGGGAGGAAATGGAGGTCAGGTGTCTTGGTTAGGTCCCCAGAAGCAGACTCTGGGACAAGAATGCGAATGCAAGGCATTGATTAAAATGCTCCAAGAAAATATTAGAGGTGGGTAGAAGAATGCATGGATGGATGGGGGCAGGGAGAGAGTCATAAATGGAGGAAGGAAGGAAGGAAGGAAGGAAGGAAGGAAGGAAGGAAGGAAGGAAGGAAGGAAGGAAGGAAGGAGATAGATTTGATAGATGATTGACAGATGATAGATAGATAGAAGATAGATAGATAGAAATGTCTCTGTGTAGCTGCAGAACAGTCCATTACAGAACTGTACCACCATTACAGGACTGATGTTGGATGCCAACTTTCTTCCTTGTACCTTGTTACTGCCCAGTCTAGGGTCAGACCTAATTTGTGTATCTATGCTGTGTGACCATGTCCAGTTTACTTAACGTCTCTGAGCCACAATTTCCTCACCATCAGGGTTGTACATGGACACGTATCACTGGTGTGTGAAGTACCCACACAAAGGGGAAGGCTTCCTGTGGATGGAGTGCTCAGAGACGGCAAGGGCTCTGTTCTACGTAGCTCAGCTCAAGGAGGCCAGTTCCTGGGGGGAGGAGCTAAGTCCACACTGCAGTTCATCTTCTGCAAACAAGCAAAGACATAAATCTAGACAGAGAGCAAGGCTCTGGAGCTTAGGAGCATGGCATGCTGTGGAGGTGAGGTGCGGGGTGTGCTCACATCCCATCAGCATCCCTGCTCAACAATGGGACTGGCAAGCCACTCCAGTGTCACCTGAAGAAGAACTTGGGAAGATAACGGTGCGCCTGTGAGTCAGAAGCCATGAAGCAGTCCCACCCACCCCCACTGTCTCCCCAAGCAGAGGGGGCATGCTGGGGAGACCTCAGATAACCATGGGCCCCGAGGCGCTGCCAGTGGTAACTAAGGACATGCCAGCTCTCTGTTACTCCCCACAACCTCCCCATCAAGGTGAAAAGGCCCCATAGAGAGGTGAGGGGAATCCTGATGGGGCTACAAAAGGTGTCCATGTCCCCATAGAAGTCCCAAATAGGCTCTGGGTGACGTTCCAAGAGAGAGACTGTAAGTGTCTGAGGTTCCCCTGAAGGAGCCAGCATTGGCCCTGACCGGGTGGCTCAGTTAGTTAGAGCGTCTTTTCAATACACCAAGGTTGCAGGTTCAATCCCCAGTGAGGGCACATATAGGAATCAACCAATGAATGCCTAAATAAGTGGAACAATGAATCAATGTCTCTGTTCTCTTCCTCTCTCTCTAAAATCAATAGATTATATAATTGTTTTTTTTAAAAGCCACCCAGATGTACAGAATCTGGCACTGGTGCTGGACACCACAGCTAGAAGAAAAGAGAAGGAAGGGAGGCCCAGAGAATCCACCATGCAAATGCCACCCCACCCCCACCCCTGAGAAAGTATCAAACAGCCCAGGGCAGGGGCCAGAGGGAGCACAAGAAGCCCCCAGAGTGACTGAATGAGCTTGAGGCAACTTTTTGAGGCCAGGAAAATGTTCTAAAACTGGATTGTGGTGGTGGTTGTCCAACTCTATAAGTTTATTAAATCTCATTGAATTACACACTTGACAGGGGTGAATTTTATGGTATATAAATTATACCTCAATAATACTGTTAATTAAAAAAAGGAAACCAGTGGATGTAAAATTCAAATGGTAAATGTGGCATCACTGTCATATGCAAACCAAAATAGAAATTGCCAGGATGCCTGATGTGTCAGGAGCCAGACAGCTAGGTTGCCTACCGTAAGCCAAGGTTAACCAAACTCTGTTCTAAGAATATAGCAACCCTCCTGCCCGTATATAGCCAATGCGTTCATTTATCCCTACTCATATTTAAGACAGCTGGCACAGTGCTGGGCACACATAAGCCATCAGCTGAGTGGTGTTTCACTGACTGCTCAGGGCAGATGGTCGGTGCCAGGCTTGGACACCGGACAGGTCCCGAGAAGCAGGAATGCGGTGAGAACCGTGGGTCAGCCAGGCTGAGCAGCAGAGAGGAGAGGTTTGGAGATCTGACAGCCAGTCAACAAATCAGGACCAGAGGATGGCCCTGCAGGGCCTGGCAGCATTGACCACAAGAGTACATGGTCATATAACCTCCGCATGCCTCAGTTTCCTTGTCTGTAGAGCAGTGCTATTTTCATGGCACTGACACAGGGATTAACGGAGGTAACACCCATCAAATACTTGGAAAATTCTCAGTGTTAACAATTACAGTTATGATTATTCCATAACTCACAAGCTTGAGAAGTGTTAGTGTCTTAGAGAGCATGGCTGCTCACAAGGGTTTTGGGGGGGTTTTCAATCAAACTGAAGCAAAAGAAAAAGCAGGAAGGTCTTGGAGAAAAAGGGGGAGAAACCAATCATAAAATTCAAAAAGCAGTTCTTGTTACCAATACTCCAAGGCAAAACTGTCCTTTTTTTCATGATCCAAAATCAGTTTCGACATCAAGGTCATGCAGGTGATGGTGATTATGGTGTCCTCCTACGGCGAGTCTGTGTTCGTCATCCTCTCTGCCTGCTCCCCAGACTGTCCTGATCCTGTAGGAGAGACTGTGCCACTCCAGGAAGACGTTGCTGGTGAGGCAGCAGCGCGGGCTGGTGAGTCACACGGGAATGGGTGGCAGACAACATCAATTACCCCCACTGCTTCCTGTAAGCGCTGTGGAGGAGGGCATACATACACACACAGACACACAAAGGCCAGCTGTCTCCAGTTCTACGTCAAATGCTTGCAAAGGCCCCTGTGTGATTAATGGCATTGTATTCCTTTTTATTTTACTCATATCGGTATATTCCTGACAAAGGGTAGAACAAAACAATTCCACAAATGACTTAAAGGCACATGGCATTGTTATTTAGAATCAGAGAGAAAAGGAGGTAGGTGGGGGAATACAGGGGAAACAACCTAACCTGACACAGGATCCACGGAGCTCCCAGGACGGGTCTGTCTAGGTCACATGGCACACCATTCTTCCCTCATTCCCTGTATTTTAGCTTGGGTCAAAGGCTGAAATGATTGATTGATAAGAAATGATTAATGAAAATGATACTATAGCAAACACTCTGGATGTTAAAAGACATATTATACTAAACTAAGAGCTCAGTGCATGAATTTTTTCACCTTGAAAGGAACTGTGGGCTGTGAGGCTTTGGTGAGCAGAGGGACGGGTCTCGGCCCATCCTCCGTGCCCTCACCCAACCCCTCCCGCCGCGGTCCCCAATCCCATCTGCCAGCAGCCCCGCTCCCGCTGCCCCCACACATTGACAGCGCCAGCCCCGCTCGCACCCACTGATGATGCAAAGCAATTGGGGTTGGCGCCATCAGTGGGTGCAAGCAGCAGCTGCTGCCCCGATCGCCCCTCAGGAGCAGGAGAAGGTGGAGAAGCCCTCAGGGGCGATCGGGACCAACAGCCACCGCTTGCACCCACTGACAGCACTGAGCATTCGGGACCAGTGCCAGGCTCTGGCAGTGGGTGTGGGCGGTGGCTGTTGGCCCTGATCGCCCCTCAGGAGCAGGGGGAGGTAGAGAAGCCCTGATCAGGAGCCTGTAGCCACCGCTAGCACCCACTGACAGTGCCAAGCAATCGGGGCCAGCGCCAGGCGCCAGCAGCAGGTGTGAGGCAGCTCCAGCACTGGCAGTGGGTGCAAGCACCTGGTGGGACCACAGCGCACGGGAGCAAAGAATTTTCAGTAACCACCAGCGGCTTGCCCTGATGACAGCGACCGGCACCCCACCTTGGTCTGGCACCCCCGCTCAACTGCTCCACCATCCCACTGCAGCCAATGCCTGCCATGTTCCATGCGCACCCCCTGGTGGTCAGTGCACGTCATAGCAACCAGTTGCTCAGTTGTTCCGCCATTCGGTCTATTTGCATATTAGGGTCATATATATATATGGAGAGAGGGAGAGAGAGAGAGAGAGAGAGAGAGAGAGAGAGAGAGAGAGAGAGAGAGAGACTAGAAACCCAGTGCATGAATTCATACATGGGTGGGGTCCCTCTGGGTGGCCTGCAGGGATTAGGCCGAAACCCACAATCTAACGCTGCCTACAGTTCCTAACTGCCGCTCCCACTCATCACAACCCCACTGTGCCTGCCACGGGCTCACCCCCAATCAGTCCCAATCGGGAGAGGCTCAAACTGCTGCAGCAGTGCTTGCCAGCCAAGAGCCCTGCGTCTGGCATCCTCCCAAAGGGAGTGGCCTGTGGGATCCGGCTGAAACCTGCTCTCCATCTCCCGAGGGGTCCCAGATTGCAAGGGCACAGGCCAGGCTGAGGGACCCCACTGGTGCACGATCAGGCTGGGGAGGGACCACAGGAGGCTCCAGGGCATGCCCAGCCCATCTCAGTCCCGATCGGCCAGACCCCAGCAGCAAACCTACTGGTCAGAGCATCTGCCCCCTGGTGGCCAGTGCACGTCATAGCAACTGGTCGACCAGTTGACTGCTCCCTGGTGGTTAATGCAGGTCATAGCGAGCAGTTGAGCAGCCTTAGTATATCATTAGCATATTACACTTGGATTGGTTGTTCGGTTGTTCTGCTGTATAGTCTATTTGCACATTACCCTTTTATTATATAGGATTTGGGGGATACCAAAAATCACAAAAGCATCCACATCCTCAGGAATTTAAATTTACTGAGGAGTCAAGTTATATGCATTTAAAACAAAATACCAATTGGCTAGCTTGACAATTGTTTAAGGTGTGATCTAGCCAGGCCACTATTAGGGAAATATTCCATAGATGCTTGAGTTTCCACTTATGTACAATAATGTTACCAAGGGCTGTTGATTGTCACCTAGATTCTAGTAGTAAAAATTGGAATAACCAATTTTTATTATATACATTCTAATAAATCCATGCTATGGAATAGTATATAGCCATTAAAAAGATCACTTTATTGCTTAATCAGATCAGCTTATGCATGCTGACACAGGAAATGCCCAATGTACACTGTTCATGAAGAAGGCAAGTCACAGAACAATAGCCATAACCCAATATGTTCTGCACTCGTTTACTGGGGCCACTATACAAATACCACAGACTGGAAGGCTTAGACAAGTCTATTTTCTCACAGTTCTGGAGGCTGGAAGTCTGAGATCGAGGTGTCAGAAGGTCTCTCTCCTTGGCTTGTCTTCTCATTGTCATGCCTGTGTGTGTGGCTGTCCTACTCTCCTCTTCCTATCAGGACTCCCGTCATATTGTACTCTAATGACCCCACTTTAATACCTCCTTAAAGGTCCTATCTCCAAATGCAGTCATGTTCTGAGGTTAGGACTTCAATATATGAATTTGGGTATATATAATTCAGCCCATAATATGCTCTCTAAATATTCTATGATTTTCATTTTTAGTTTATATTTCTGAATTGCTAAAAAAATTTAAAATAAATTCATATATTACATTAAATTAGCAATTCATAAACTATCCTTTTGTCAAAAAAATACTTTCAAATAAGGTTTTTTCTTTTAAGTGCATCACTATAGGGAAAGCAACAGCAAGGGTGGGCAGCTGAGGGATCATGAGGCCCACCTCTCAGCACCAGACAGCACATTGCTGGGCGTTAGAATGGGGTATTTTACACATGAGCACCTTCCCACCCCACCCCTCCTTTCCAAGCCAGCCTGAGCCCCCGGACAGGACTCGGGTTAAAGCCATTCTCTAATCTCATCCAGGCCTTTAATAGTCAACATCCTCTTGCTGTCAGATTGTGGACACAGTATTTCTGTGGGATGACAAGGTCCAGAATACAGCCATGAGGGTTGCAAGGAGGGGCTTTGGCACCACAGGTGTTTATGAATAAAATTTGGAAAGCTGGGCAACAACATATTTGGGCAACATAGCAATAGGGTTTTCACTATTTTGATGAAGAATATGGAACTTGCAGTATCACAGGACATATCTTTCACAGCTGTCCTTCTAACAGCTACATTTTTTTTCTCAATGGGAGGTTGGAAGTCCACAACAATACAGGCCTGCATCCTAAAATTATATATGTGTTTGGCTGTTGAAATATTAAGCTATTAATGTTTAAAAGAATAACCCTAGAAAAGTTAGAGAAAGGAGGCAAAATTAAAAAACACATCAAAGCTGCTAGATGCTTAGTTTTGTAAGTTACAGGATTACAAAGACCTACTTTTATGAAAGTGTTAGTATACAGGGACATATGCTCAACTTTGTCAGAAACAAACATTAAACGGCAGTTGAAGGCAGGGAGAGATTCGTTTCTGAGATATCACATCGAACTTTCTCCCACAATTAAAGGGTTAAAGTTCGGCACACAATATGCAACATTTGCCTCTAACCCCACAAACATTTTAGTGCCAAATTTTAGCTTTCCTATTATCTGTATTAAGGGCTTTATGCTGTGGGAGTGGGTAGGAAACACGTTATCAGCGCTGACTTTGAATGCGGAGCTTCTGTGCAGTCAGAACCAGAAGGAACTCAGGCCGGGTTGGGGCAACGTGAGAATAAAAGACTGCTGAGAAGTGAATATTAAGAACAGAATGTCTAGAATAAAAATTTCCCTTGAAATGGATTGCTAGGCCAAGAAAGAAAATTCCCCCCAACTCCCTCTTCAATAAGGATTTCAAGAATGGAGGGAGCTTTTCCTTTTTTTAGGACCAAATACTGAGTTTTAATATTAGAAATGTTTTTACACATCTTTATTCTTCAAAATTCATGTCAAATTACAAATAGTCTACATGATATAGCTTCATCATGTACACTTCTTCAGGGAGAAAAACCGCAATCACCAAGAAAACACTGAAAATGAACTCATAGGTCACCACTGGTAAGTACAGAGAAAGTGTTACATTTCAGTGTGGTCCCACGTGACAGTTTAAAACGGCGACCCCTTTAAAACATTACAGATGTACATAACTTTCTTACAAACGAACGCCCACATCAGTTTTTTGTTTAAATTTTAACACTGTATCACAGGGACTAATAGCTTAAAACTATAAAATCTGGTGAATTTTAGCAGCAAGGTTATGCCAAGTTCATCTATTTTTAAACATTGCTGCAAATAGTGCAAACTTTAGAGAACATCACAGATAGCAAATCCATTACTTAAAAACAAAGTACTTAGAAAGTAGATTCCACTTTGTTTTGTTCTCTTGATTGGTAAAAACCTTTTAATGAAGTTTAAGCTAAAAATTCCAGTGGGGGAGTGGAGCTGTAGGAAAAAAGAGGTAGCCAACAATCTATTGCTATAAACTGCTACTTACTGTCACAGCAACGGTCATCTCCAGAAGTATAGAAAACAGGAGTTCTTAGGGAACTGTTCTTTTAAGATCTAGTTTATATTTAGATGTGTATTAGATTTAGCAATTGACTTTGAAATTTCAAGTTTTCCTCTTCAAGTACCTTGTGGTTAAAGCAGTATTTCTTATAATAGAATTACAGTAGTTAGGATTTTGGGGTTTTTTTTAGTAAACCAACTTTTTTCTTTTTGAAAGGGTAGTATTAAAAGATACCGTTTTACAAGTCACTTAAGATGGTTTGGTTAGAGCCCCAGCCAGCATGGCTAAGTGGCTGTTGACCTAGGAACCAGATCACAGTTTGAATTCCAGTCAGGACACATGCCCACGTTGTGGGCTTGATCCCCAGTGTGGGGCGTGCAGGAGGCTGCCAATCAATGTTTCTCTCTCTCTCCCTCCCTTCTTCTCTAAAATCAACAAAAATGTAGTTAAAAACAAATTTTTTTAAAAAGATAGTTTGGGTTAGAGAGTAATTTGTCTGAAAAGAGATTGTACATACTTAATTTCATATTCTGCTGTGACATCTGACATTTTAGGACTGAAAGGAATTATTTAAAATTTATTAAAATGGAACCAGCCTTATTAGATTTTTCTGAAATGTTTATTCCAAATCAGTGATAAGCTACATAAACATCTGACACTATTTCAAGTCACAATTACCAACATCTATCCTTTGAAGAACTGAACCTTCTTTTTCTAAGTACAACGTTTTAAAACCACCGGAAAGCAAACAATTATTCTGAAGTTAAAGCATCAGAAACACATTCCACCCACTGCTTTAATTTTTGGATCACAACATCCGATAGAGAGGTTCTACTTAATGTCTTTCATAGTTTTATTTCTTGGCAGCTTTTCCAAATTATGACACACTATAATGAAGAGAGAAGTATTCAAAACATAATATAAATATAG